ATACCCTAAGGCAGAAGCTTGTCCATCCCAAGGCTAAAGCACCCAGACACAAACTGAGTAACATGGTATATGCAGTACAATGCAGTGAGCCATGTGCAGATCTGTACATTGGAGAAACAAAACAACCACTTCATAAACGCATGGCACAACATAGGAGAACAAACCAATCAGGACTAGTCAAAACAGAACTGCCATCTCTCAACAGAAGGGGGAGGAATACAACATCATCTATCTCCAATCTACAACACAGTCCTTTCAATAGTTCCAAGAAGGCTCCTCACCAGTGGTGGGCTTCAAAAATTGTTCGAACCTACTCTGTGGGTGTGGTCTCCTTTGTGGGAGTGGTTTGCCACCCATGTGACCAGATGGGAGTGGCTTGCCGCCCATGTGACAAGATATGAAATTGTGAATTAGTACTTAAGTCGGTCCAAATAGCTATTCAGAAACTCTGGCATTGAAGCATGCAAGTCTTAAAGCTGTCAAGTTACAAGATCCTTGCACCCCTAACCCTTTAGAAAAAAAAAACTAGGGGTCTTCAAACCTGACAGCTTTAAGACTTGTGGACTTCAACTCCCAGAATTCCTCCTCCAGTCATGTTGGCTCAGGAACTCTGGCATTGAAGCATGCAAGTCTTAAAGCTGTCAAGTTACAAGATCCTTGCACCCCTAACCCTTTAGCAGTGGTGGGTTTCAAAAAATTTTGGAACCTCTTCTGTAGGTGTGGCCTGCTTTGCGGGTCCACTGGTGGAACCTCTTCTAACCAGTCCGGTAGATTTGACGAACCGGTTCTACCGAATAGGTGCGAACTGGTAGGAACCCACCTCTGCTCCTCACTTATTTGCACCACTCAGGTGACCCTGATGACACAGATGAACTTCCAGGTGGCTTTAACAACTCACTAAAAGAATGCAAATGACCAGCTGTCTGAAAGGAGTATAAATATTTCCATTCTCCACTATTCAGCCAGAGCTAAAGAAGGTTCTTGAATGAGAAGCAAAACATCTTCAAAGAAAATCCATAAAATCCAGTTGCCTCTTGTTTAAGACTTATGGACTTATGAACTCCCAGAATTCCCCAACCAGTTGAAGTCCACAGGTGCTCAAGTTGCTAAACTACTGTTTTAGATGAAGGTTATTAAGTATTGACCAGGTGCTTGAGACCATGTGGTATTAAGACATTTTATGTGTTTACAGTGTTTTAAAATCAGATAGTAACACTAGAGTCAGGATCAACAATTCAGAGTGTCTATGATTACCTGAACAGAAATGATTTGCAACTGACTTTCATTTTTTTCTTAAATGAAGATTACAGATGTATGGCTTCTAAAAATGTGTCTGTAGTCTGTTAGTGTATTTTCTACATATGGAAGATGACATTTCTGGCATGTAAATTATGCAGGGGATTTTTATTTGATGTAATAAGTTCTGCCAATTGTACTACTTTGGAAGGTAGCAGGCTTTAAGCACAGGCTATACATTTATAATTTAAGATAGTTTAAGAACTACTGTCACTGGTAATCCGCACAGATGTAAAGGTTGGCAGAAGGTTATGCAACAATTTATAGATTGCTTTCAATTAGATTTGGCTGAAAATGATTCACTTTTGCTGATTGCCAGGTGGCATTTAAGTGATATGAACAGGAGATTTTTGTTGTTGTTGACTGATTCCTCTTTTTAAAAAATAAATGTTTTGGTTATGGATGGTTGTGTGATAATTTTTCCAATGATACGTGCAGCAGATGTTCTATGCTAAAGGTATTTTTATTGGTTCTTTTTCTGTATATTATTCTTTGTTATAGTTTCATTGGATCTTGAGAGCCAAAGTGTAGGTAATATTCTTCTTTAGGATTTCCAATTTAGATAGGTCTGGACTTAAGCATATTTGTTGTACTTCCCAAAATATTTCAAGCAGGATAGCCAGTATTGAGATTTCTGGAAGTTGAAGTCCGCATATCTAAATAATATTTTGATTGGGAAAAGCTGCTATAAGGAGATGTGAAGTAAGATATTACTCCAGTCAAATTAAAATACTTGATTGTGAATATCACATTACTTTTGTGAGTAAGTGATTATCTTTTTATAATATCAAAGTTTTTAAAAACTCAATATATAAATAAATTTTCCTACATGAGATAAAGAGGATTCGGATTAGTAATTTGCTGTTCTTGGCATTTTTAGTTGTTGTTTTTTTTCTCTTTGGTGAAAAGTAAAATCTTTCAGGAATGATGTGAATTAACAACAAAAAACGGCTGTCATTTTGTTACTGTTAGGAAATGCGTGACATTATTCTGCACAGTTTGGATTAATGACTGAAACTGTAATTCAACTGGAAAAGCAGTTCAGTATTTTCATCAGTTCAAGATTGTAGTTGCTTGGTTAAACAGTCTTTCTAATGCATTTCTATTACTGCCTGTAACAGAATTAAGTTTATAGATGGTTTCGTATCAAGAATCCAATGGCCAGTGACTACTGTTCACTGTTGTTCTATCTGAGTTGGTTTAAGACAAAGAAGGGTGATGTTTTTAAGCTGACAGTGATTTTGCCATAGTTAATCATAAGGTGACGAGAAAATCATTTGGTGCTTTTTCCTCATTCTCCTGGATATTTGGCTAAATAAGAGACTTGCATTGAGCAACAAAGATCAGGCAATGTTTTTCTTGATGGCAATCTGGCTAATTTTCTTAGATATTTTGGCAACCCACTCTAAAATAAGTTCTCTGAATTATTAAGGAGGTGAAAGGTAAACAACAGCTTAATATAGTAAACATCTTTTCAGCATCTACAAAAATTATAAAGCAGGTGATGACTCTACCAGCCATTATTTGAAATAAAAATAGAATGTAAAAAAGTGTAAGGTTTATTAACAAGCAAGAAGCAAAGCTTATCTGCAAAAGGTTGTGGGTGCTTTTAGAAATAAAGTCAAACCTAGTAGAAATTATAGCCACAACTTTGGAAAGGCATTCTGAACGTTCCGCTTGTAAAATTTCTGCTGGAATTTGGGAAAGCCATTTTTCGGAATGTACAATGACAAACATTCCTGGGAAACTATTGTACATGAAGTGTGGTGGCGCAGTGATTAGAGTGCAGTATTGCAGGCTACTTCTGCTGACTACCATCTACCTGCAATTTGGCAGTTTGAATCTCACCAGGCTCAAGGTTGACTCATCTTTCATCCTTCCGAGGTGGGTGAAATGAGGACCCAGATTGCTGGGGCAATATGCTGACTCTGTAAACTGCTTAGAGGGAGCTGTAAAGCACTGTAAAGCAGTACATAAGTCTAAGTGCTATTGCTATTTTGGTACAGGTAAATTGTCATTGTTTGGACTGTACTGAACTCTCTGTTCCATCTAATTCAGTTTTCCTCAGGGTGCGCCCCCCCCTTTGGGGGGGGGGGCGGAAGACACCTCCAGACTTATATTTTTCCATCTGACATTATACCGGACTCTCTGTTGGCTCTGACAGTCAACATAAGCCAAGTGCAGACTTTGTACGCCCGCGCAAATTTTTAATTGGTATGTTGAGTGTATGGGAGTGTATGGATAGTGTGAATGACCCACTTTTATTATTATTATAGTTGTATTCTTTGTGTTTTAACCATAGTGTGGGGATTGTTTGTGTGAGTGCCTGAGTATGTTTGATTCGGAGGACCTGCCGGGGGATGCGGGAGTCACCGGGGTGGCTGGGGGAACTACGGCTACGGGAGAGGGTCGGAGCATTGCGGTCATAACAGGGAGGGGCAGACACGGCG